ATTTAATAACGTAACTGTGGATAATGCCGAGTATGTTATAATTTATTGGTCCGTCAGACGACCATTGACATGACCTCGTCACCACCCAACTGGAAGCTTCAATAGGGGTAAGTTGATGAGAGAGAAGAGCTTTTGATCCAAGGAATCGGAGCTTTTCTTCTTCCCAGGTCAAACATGACTGCTCTCCCATTTTCGTGGTCCTATTTGTTTTTTGGGTAAACTATATAGAAATCTTTAAAAAAAATGGGTAATTGAATTAAAATTAAAAACAATCTATTTTTTTATTTTATAGCACAAAAAGCTAAAATATAAATATGAAAGAGATGTTAAAATATATAATTAAATATTACAAAAAATCTTATAAGGATATTTCTTTTGTTCGTTTTTAAAGTAAACTTGTTTCTTTAATAGATTATTTCCGTAGGGGATTACATAGTGTAAGTGTTTTCATCATCGACACCATGCCCAGCCCTTCTAGGGTAGGGTAGGTGCCTGAGCCCGAGCCTTTAGCTCATAAGACTGTCATTCCCATTAGCCTCCTTGGGGCGGGATGGCAGACCAGAGAGGCCTAGCTTGTGGCTAGGCCTGGGGACAGTTGGTCCCAAAGATGAGGAGGTCCTTGTGCCTCCTCCCATGGGAGACTTAGGTCTCAGACACTCCCTAAAGAGGGAGCCAAGGCCGGGCCACCACTTGGAAAAGGCCCGGGCCGGGAGAATACCGGCTAATATTTAATAATAATAAATAAGTGTTTTATGACGTATACAACACTGGTTGTCTCGGTGAGTGACTGTTACTACCGTCTTCCTGTGTAACTGCAGCGACTCCAGACTCCTGAGGTGCGCTCAGACACACGTGATGGCCACCTCACCTCACATCATCTCCTTCATTTTTCAAGTCTCTCATTGGTTCTGCTGTGCAGCAGCACACTAAATTCACCAGTTTGGCAGTTCTAGCATTTGCACCATAGTTAGGATTGTATCCTACAATAGTTCTAATAAATTTACGTCTGTCTTTATATTGTCGATTTATTTTATTCACAGTTTTAGCCGTACAGTCACACATATTTACAGGACATAATAGGCTTGCTTTTAACCTTTAATTTTGATGGTTCACTTTTACGGTTACCATTGTGTCTATTAAACACTTTGGCCTTGTCTACAGAAATTATAAGGGCATGATTATCACAGGTTGTCTGTATATGATTTAGAGCGGTTTGGATTCCCGAAGTTTTAGTAGTTACAGGAACATCATCAATATAGACAATTGTGATATTGCTGGGGATATCTGGTATAGATTTAAGTAGGACACTGACTGATATATTAAATAGTGTAGACTTAAAATACCGCCTTGAGGAGTGCCAAGTTGAATATCTTTTTCTTTACTTCTGTAGCCCTGAAACAAGGCAGCAAATTATCTGTTTTGTGTTTGAAAGACCCATATTTTATGTTTTATCTAGATCTTCTGTTACTCTACTTTCTGTCATCCAGGTACTTCCTAGTCCACCGAGAGATGTGTATTAGTGTATGTACACACTGGAATAATGATTCCTCCGATGAGTCCTTTAACTATGGCCTGGTCAGCAGCATTCAGAATTATTTAGTACTAATTCGACACTCACTTAGAGCCTCCCTCCTGTGCTTTAAACTCAGCTAATTACTGTAATAATATTAATTCTATAATGATGCAAAACCTGGCGTAGGGAAACGTACCTCTATGAGAATATGTCCTGCTATACTATACAAGTAATTACACTCAGAAATACTGCTGCTGCCAGGAGTATATGACAGAGTAAAGTGGGTCCACTGGGATACGTTTTTTAAGTCCCAGTGGCCACACCCCACTGAGCATGGCACGGAGGGACATTCATATTATCATAATCATGGGGAGCGCTAAACCCATAGGATTATACAGCACTTGTGTGTGTGGGGGGGGTGGAAGGCATTCAGGCTCAATACAGGGAACTGGAGCATAGATCAAATCCTATAGATCAGGAACCCCTCACCAGCATCAAGGAACCTCTCTTGATGGGGGGGGGGTACATTTATAGAACTAGATATATTTCGGTGCTGAGCGATCCTAGAAAGATATCCTCGTATTTTATAACCCCAGCCCCTCCATCCTGTAAGTCAATGCTGGCGAAAGGAATTGTGCAGAGTGCAACACAAGTTTCTAATGCAGTAAAATATTAGCGTTGAAAATCTTCGGTGAATCAAGACGTACTCATAGGTAATCACATGGACACTAATATTCCATCCAATTTCTTCAATAAAAATGACAAATTAAGACATATACACCCCAAAACTAATTCAAATCTTCCATTCAGGAGCACCAAGTTTCTCTTGTTATCTGTGAGAGACCAATATGCTAATATACACCAGAACATCAAGACGCGGCTCGAAATTTGCATTATCATCAACATTGAAAGTTGAAACCAAGTGGATAAGGAAACACTTTAAAATTATCACATGAAAAACCAGTATTTTGATTTTGCCATTTCTTTCCATAAAAAAAAGAGAATAAAAATAAGCAAGAGAGGTTAAAATCAATCCAAACTTTCCTCTGAGAAGAATTTACCAATATTGAAATAAGTATACAAGCAATTAAGTAATGTAATTTATATTTTACAATGTCTACAGTACACACTGATGTTATGTACATATTAAGTACTTTATGTACTTTTAGAACATATGAAAGAAGGAACACTGCATTAGGCCTACTGACCCACGCGGAGCAGGTCCATGTACCCCCCCCCGGATTAGACCAATAACCCACCCAGTCTGGTCATCCCCACTCAAGGATGGAGCACTGTACCAGATCCAGCAGAACAAGCTAGTCAGGTTCAACTCACACCCACCCACACCCACTCATGTATTTATCTAACCTATTTTTAAAACTACACAACGTTTTAGCCTCAATAACTGTACTTGGGAGTTTGTTCCACTCATCCACAACTCTATTACCAAACCAGTACTTTCCTATATCCTTCCTGAATCTGAATTTTTCCAACTTGAAACAATTGCTGCGAGTCCTGTCTTGGCTGGAAATTTTCAGCACACTATTTACATCCCCTTTATTTATTCCTGTTTTCCATTTATACACCTCGATCATATCCCCCCTAATTCTACGCCTTTCGAGAGAGTGCAGATTCAGGGCCTCAGTGTATCCTCATAGGGAAGATTTCTGATACATGGGATCATCTTTGTCATCCTCCTTTGTGCGTTTTCCAGAGCTTTTATATCCATTCTGTAATACGGTGACCAGAACTGAGCAGCATAGTCTAAATGAGGCCTAACCAAGGATATATAGAGTTGAAGAACAACCTGAGGACTTCTATTATTTATACTTCTAGATATGAAGCCAAGAATTCTGTTAGCTTTATTGCGAACACTAATGCACTGTTGTCTTGGTTTTAGATTACTGCTAACCAGAACTCCTAAATCCTTTTCGCAATCAGTAGTATTAAGATCTACATTATTTAGTTTATATGTGGCATGGTTATTTAACTGTAAAACATTTAGAACTTTGCATTTGTCAATATTAAACTGCATCTGCCACTTCTCCGACCATTGCGTCAGTCTATTCAAATCATCCTGGAGTGCTCTAGTGTCCTCATTAGAATGAATTGGACGGCCTATTTTGGTGTCATCAGCAAATTTGTTTATGTCGCTATTTATTCCCTCATCTATGTCGTTTATGTAAATTGTGAACAACAACGGGCCCAACACTGACCCCTGAGGAACACCGCTTGTGACGTGCCCCCATTTTGATTTCTCCCCATTTATGCAAACTCTCTGCTGTCTATTTGTCAGCGATGCCTCTACCCAGGAAAAAATTTCTCCTCCTATTCCGTGTGCCCTAAGTTTCCTCAATAGCCTGTTCTACGTAATCTATTATTTCAGGAATATCACTAGTATTTTCCTGGGTGAAAACTGAGAGGAAGTAGGTATTTAGAATTTCACACACATCCTTATCACTGTCAGTGATCTAACTTAGGTTAACAATATAAATCCAATTGATGATTTATTTGTGACCGGAAGAAACATTCATCATTTACCTCACACAAACCACTCTGACTAATATAATTAGCACATTAAAACCTACACAAACTAAAGCTTCATTTGAGGAAGATACATCTGCATTACAAGTTGAAAGCCGATCAGAAGCAGCATTCTCCAGTTACTGCACAAAATCGAACAAACTTTTCGTGTATGTAGCCTAAACCCGCCATAATAACGTTATATCGAATTTCACAAGATTAATCAGTCAGAAAAGATTGATACTGTTCAGAAATGTTATATTTAAATTAAGGGAAAGCGCTAAACTACAAGGAGTTATATAGCAAAAGTGGAATGCGTTGATATACTGGTGTGATGTGTTGATATACTAGTGTGATGTGTTGATATATTAGTGTGATGTGTTGATATACTAGTGTGATGTGTTGATATACTAGTGTGATGTGTTGATATACTAGTGTGATGTGTTGATATACTAGTGTGATGTGTTGATATACTAGTGTGATGTGTTGATATACTAGTGTGATGTGTTGATATACTAGTGTGATGTGTGTTGATATACTAGTGTGATGTGTTGATATACTAGTGTGATGTGTTGATATACTAGTGTGGTGTGTTGATATACTAGTGTGATGTGTTGATATACTAGTGTGATGTGTTGATATACTAGTGTGATGTGTTGATATACTAGTGTGATGTGTTGATATACTAGTGTGATGTGTTGATATACTAGTGTGATGTGTTGATATACTAGTGTGATGTGTTGATATACTAGTGTGATGTGTTGATATACTAGTGTGATGTGATGATATACTAGTGTGATGTGTTGATATACTAGTGTGATGTGTTGATATACTAGTGTGATGTGTTGATATACTAGTGTGATGTGTTGATATACTAGTGACCCACATGGTGCTAAGCCAGACCCATCCCCCAGTCATAGCACTAATACCCACAGTGCTGGTGCTGGCCCAGGCTCCCCCAGCCATAGCACTAATACCCACAGTGCTGGTGCTGGCCCAGGCTCCCCCAGCCATAGCACTAATACCCACAGTGCTGGTGCTGGCCCAGGCCCAGCCGCTGACCCAGACCCAGCCCCAGCCCCCAGCCCCAGTGCTGACCCAGACCCAGCCCCCAGCCTTACTGCCAGCCCAGACTCTCCTAGGGACACTACCAAAACCACCACGAAAACAGTAAATATACAACCATCATTGCACAAGACCGTGGCCCACAGTACAGATGTTGGAGAGGAGTCTCCTCCTCCTTCCTCTACTGGGGAAAGTAGATGGAATGCAGGACGGGGTGGCCCTGGCTTGGATACTGAGGATTATAGTGCAGTCCCAGAACCTGCAGAAATTGACAACACACCTCCCAACAATTCTCAACCAAAGGTGAATTTGTGCAAATATTATGCTTGGGGCATCTGTAAGCATGGAATAACAGGGGAAAAAATGGGACATGCAACTTTGACCATCCCAAAAAATGTAGCGACCTCCTGTCTAAAGGAGAGTGTCGTTCTTCTTCCTGTACTTTCTTTCACCCAAAAATGTGCCACTCCTCGGTCCTCCAGAAGCAGTGTTACAACATCGAGTGCCCTGCATACCATCTAAAAGGGACCAGGAGGCACAGACCCCACAAGACAAACAATAGTAGCTACGACAACCCAACTCCAGGTGATTTTTTAGTGGCAGGAAACGAAAAAAGAAAATGGAAGGAAATAACAATAATAGTCCACCACATTGGAGCCTTGTTGGACTGGAGGTGCAGCCAGTGGCCACCCATGGCCCTCCAGAATTACAACTACTGATGCCAATAACAAAATCCCCCCAACTAACACAGAATACAATCTCGTTCATATTTGCTAATATACAGGGCCTTAAGCCATCCACCAACAACAAAATACCTTTTATCAGTGGACTTCTAGAGGAGTCTAATGCAATGTTTGCAGCCTTCACAGAGACTCACACAAAAGATCACTTTGACAGTGAAATATGGATAAGTGGTTACAACCTTTTTTAGATGCGACAGAAAAAACAGGCAACAAGGGGGGGTTGGCCTGTATGTCAAAGAGTCCCTTATCTACACGGAGTTGCTGAACACCACAAATGAGGTAGTTGAAGTTCTATCAATAAAGATCGAGAACCAAAACCTAGTCATTGTGGTTGTATACAAGCCACCAGATGCAACCTCACAACAGTTCAAGGAACAGCTACTGAAAATTGATTACTGTTTGGAAAACCTTCCAGCTCCATCCCCAAACATCTTACTGCTTGGTGATTTCAACCTAAGGCATACAAAATGGAGGTAGCGCAGATGAAAGGTCACACACACATGAGCTACTAAGTCTCTGCAAAAAACACACCTTAAGCCAGCAGATAGTGGAGCCAACAAGACTAGAAAACACACTTGACCTTATCTTCACAAATAATGAGGACCTGATAAGAGACATAAGAATATCCAAAACAACTAATTCTGATCACAACCTAATCGAAGTACAGACGTACATGCATAGGGGTCCTGATCAGCAGAATGCATGTACCTGTGAAGGTGTCTTCACAAAATACAACTTCAACAACAAGAACATCAACTGGGACCAGGTAAACCATGTCCTAAACGAAGCATGTTGGGAAGATGTCTTAAATGACATGGATCCAAACCAGTGCCTTGAAAGGATCAACTTCCTGGTAGCCGAAGCATGTTCTAGGCATATTCCCCTAAGAAAGAAGAAGAGCAGGAGTAAACTGGAGAGAAAAAGACGCTCCCTCTACAGAAGACGACGAAGAGTCACTGAGCTCCTCAGGAGTGCTAGAACATCTGATACACGAAAGGAGGCGCTGACCAGGGAAGTGGAAACTATCGAACTTAAGCTAAATGACTCTTACAGGAACCAGGAGAGGCAGGAGGAGCTTAAAGCTATTAGTGAAATTGAAAGAAATTCAAAATATTTCTTTTCATATGCCAAAAACAAGGCAAATACCACATCTAGTATCGGGCCCTTACTCAGACAGGATGGGACTTACACAGATGACAACAAGGAAATGAGTGAAATATTGAAATCCCAGTACGACTCTGTGTTTAGTGAACCACTAATCGGTCTGAGGATCGACGACCCAAATGATTTCTTCATGAATGAGCCTCAAAACTCCATAAATGTATGCCAGATTTCCGACATTACCCTAACTCCGATAGATTTCGAAAAAACCATTGACAACATGCCTATGCACTCAGCCCCGGGCCCAGACTCGTGGAACTCTGTTTTCATTAAGAACTGCAAGAAACCCCTCTCGCGTGCCCTAGGTACACTATGGAGGAGGAGCTTAGACATGGGTGAAATTCCACAGTCACTTAAAACAACGGATATAGCCCCACTCCATAAAGGTGGCAGCAAAGCATTAACTAAGAACTATAGACCAATAGCTCTGACATCCCACATCATAAAAATCTTTGAAAGAGTGCTAAGAAGCAGGATTGCAAATCACCTGGATTCCCAAAATCTGCACAATCCAGGGCAACATGGGTTCAGGGCAGGTCGCTCCTGCTTCTCACAACTACTGGATCACTATGACATGGCCTTGGATGCACTGGAAGAAAATCAGAATGCAGATGTAATATACACAGACTTTGCAAAAGCATTTGACAAATGCGATCATGGCGTAATAGCCCATAAAATACGCGCTAAAGGAATAACTGGGAAAGTGGGGAGATGGATCTTCAACTTCCTAACAAATCGAACACAAAGAGTAGTGGTCAACAGACTTAAATCGGAGGCTGCCATAGTGAAGAGCTCTGTTCCACAAGGCACAGTACTCGCCCCCATCTTATTCCTTATCCTCATATGAGACATAAACAGAGATATACGCCACAGCACCGTATCATCCTTTGCGGATGATACTAGGATCTGCATGAGGCTGTCATCTGCTGAGGACGCGGTTAATCTCCAAGAAGATATAAACAAAGTTTTCCAGTGGGCAACGGTAAATAATATGATGTTCAATGAGGACAAATTCCAACTACTCCGTTATGGAAAACTGGAGGAGATAATAACTAGAACAGAGTATACTACTGACTCCGGCCATACAATAGAGCGAAAAACTAATGTAAGGGACCTGGGAGTAGTAATGTCTGAGGATCTCACTTTCAAGGATCACAACAGTGCCACGATCGCACGTGCAAAGAAAATGATAGGATGGATAATGAGAACTTTCAAAACGAGAGATGCCAAGCCCATGATGATCCTTTTCAAATCACTTGTTCTCTCTAGGCTGGAATACTGCTGTACATTAACATCTCCATTCAAAGCAGGTGAAATCGCAGATCTAGAGAGTGTACAGAGATCCTTTACTGCACGTATAAGTTCTGTCAAGCACCTTAACTACTGGGAACGCTTGGAAGCACTTGACTTGTACTCGTTGGAACGCAGGAGGGAGAGATATATCATAATCTACACTTGGAAAATCTTGGAAGGAATGGTCCCAAATCTGCACACAGAAATCACTCCCTACGAAAGTAAAAGACTGGGCAGGCGATGCAAAATGCCCCCAATAAAAAGTAGGGGCGCCATTGGTACACTAAGGGAAAACACCATAAGTGTCCGGGGCCCAAAACTGTTTAACAGCCTCCCATCAAGCATTAGGGGAATTGCCAATAAACCCCTGGCTGCCTTCAAGAGAGAGCTGGACAGATACCTAAAGTCAGTGCCGGATCAGCCGGGCTGTGGCTCGTACGTTGGACTGCGTGCGGCCAGCAGTAACAGCCTGGTTGATCAGGCCCTGATCCATCGGGAGGCCTGGTCATGGACCGGGCCGCGGGGGCCCTGATCCCCGGAATAACCTCCAGGTAACCTCCAGGTATGTGTTGATATACTGGTGTGATGTGTTGATGTACTAGTGTGATGTGTTGATATACTAGTGTGATGTGTTGATATACTAGTGTGATGTGTTGATATACTAGTGTGATGTGTTGATATACTAGTGTGATGTGTTGATATACTAGTGTGATGTGTTGATATACTAGTGTGATGTGTTGATATACTAGTGTGATGTGTTGATATATTTGCTTGTGTAGCGGCAGGTACGACTGTTGATGGCTCAGTACCAGTCTCTCCCCACTGCCTGTGCACCAACTGCTGCCATCGACACTACCCTCCAAGAGAACCACCTGTTGCCCACCACACACGACCCTGAAGATCACATACTGCCCACCACACACGACCCTGAGCCCAACCTACTGCCCACCACACACGACCCTGAAGATCACCTACTGCCCACCACACACGACCCTGAGCCCAACCTACTGCCCACCACACACGACCCTGAAGATCACCTACTGCCCACCACACACGACCCTGAGCCCACCTACTGCCCACCACACACGACCCTGAGACCCACCTACTGCCCACCACACACAACCCTGAGACTCACCTACTGCCCACCACACACAACCCTGAGACCCACCTACTGCCCACCACACACAACCCTGAGACCCACCTACTGCCTACCACACACGATCCTGAGACCCACCTACTGCCCACCACACACAACCCTGAGACCCACCTACTGCCCACCACACACACCCCTGAGACCCACCTACTGCCCACCACACACAACCCTGAGACCCACCTACTGCCCACCACACACAACCCTGAGACCCACCTACTGCCCACCACACACAACCCTGAGACCCACCTACTGCCCACCACACACAACCCTGAGACCCACCTACTGCCCACCACACATAACCCTGAGACCCACGTGCTGCCCACCACACACGACCCTGTGACCCACCAGCTGCCCACCACACATGACCCTGAGACCCACCTGCTGCCCACCACACACAACCCTGAGACCCACCTGCTGCCCACCACACACGCCTTAAAATTCCAAGAGCTCCTTTCCTCCCACATCCTCGAGAAGCACCTTATACCAGGGAGACCCACCAGTGATGGCCCACTGCTCACTACCCACGCCCTCAACAGTCATATTCTACCCACCGCCCATACCTTCAACAAGCACCTCCCGCCCATCACCTGTGACCACAGTCAAGCGGTCACCCTTGGTCTCGAAAATTTCTTGCTTCCCACCACCCATACCCTGGACACCCACCTGCAGCCCACGTTTCAGCTGCAGGAGTGGGCTGCCCACAGCCGCAGACCGAACGAACACACCTACGATGAAATGGTCGTCAACGACCTGCCTCCACCATCCAGGTCGTTCAGTAAGTACCACCTCTTCAAAGAGGACATCTCTGGTGATAACGTCATCTTCATAATTTCACAGTACACACGTACAGTGAATTTTACGATAATTAGGCTGCGTCTTGAGAATTAACACTGTTGGTTTCCTAATGTTTTCTAACATCAGTTGTGGTGATGTACGAGTTAATTTTACGATATTGATACGGTTTTGGCTCCCGCAGAGGTGTGGGAAGAGAGTGGTCCCACTGAGTGTGGGCGTGGGGGGAGAGCCACCCCGTCCCCACACCCACCATCCAAACGCTGCGACATCAACACACTTCACCCAGGTGATGGAGAGTCCCCCACACCTTCAGGCGACCGCTCGAACAAGCAGGTGGCATTCTCAGAGCTGCCCTCACAGCTGGCACCCCTTGACACAGTGCATATCCCCATCTCTGAGCTCCCTGCAGCACTAGATACCATTAATGACATTTACCAGAGTGCCTACTGCTAGATGTTGCTGTTTAACACTCGGCTGCTGCTGCTACTGCTGCTGCTTCTGCTGCTACTTCTGTTACTCCTGTTGCATCGACTGCTGTTGCTACTGCTGCTCCCTCTGCTGTCTAACCAAGCCAATGACCGCGACAGTGCCTGAACACTCAGCTCCTTTAAGCTAAAAACCGCATTTTGGTGTCACAATAAAAGCGCATCATAAATGCCAGATGGTTGATGTGATTCACTGTTGTTGTGGCCAAATAATAATAATAAAACAACACTTTACAGGGTAATTAAGAATACTATAATTATTAAGGCTGTCACTGTTCACCGCCAGTCAACAATACTTTAATAATGGATCAAAATAAACTCTAAATGTATATGTAATGATATATGCTCTCTTCCATGTGTATATATACTGTCGCTCTCGTTGTATAAACATCATGAGACATCATCACAATATAGTATATATATTATATATATATATATATATATATATATATATATATATATATATATATATATATATATATATATATTATAATATATATATATATATATATATATATATATATATATATATTATATATAAAATAATATATATTATATATATATATATATATATATATATTATTGTGACCACGAACGTGTGGTATTGATCAATAACAACACTGCACTAGCCAAGGTCCTTGGCTAGCGCAGTGATCAATATCACTCGTTCGTGGTCACAATAATATAAAATTCTGCTCGTTGAACTAGTACACCAAACAGGGACTAGAATGAAATTAGCCTAGAGTCATCCACACCATCGTGTGTCCTTGAGTAGGGAGTACAACATCCAGTTCCGCTGGATGCCCTGCTTTTAAGGATCGTATGGTCCAGTGGATTAGGGCATCATGTGTTTTCGCCCACCATGAGGCAGGCCAAAGCAACATGGGTTCGAGTCCTTGGCTAGTGCAGTGATGTTATTGATATATATATATATATATATATATATATAATATATATATATATATATATATATATATATATGTCGTGCCGAATATGTAAAACTGGTCAATTAGCAAGAACTCATTTAAAATTAAGTCCTTTCCAAAATTTTTTCTTATACGTTTAAAGATATATTTTTTCATTAATGTTAATGTAAAAATTTTTAATTTTGCTCCAAAAGAATCTTAGAAAACTTACCTAACCTTATTATAACAAGAACAATTTATTTTAGCCTAACCCAACTAAATATATTTTAGATTTGTTTACAATAATTTAATACTAAACAAACACAGTGAAATACACTTTTTTCGTTAGGTTCAGAATGATTTTGGCGAAATTATTGCATACACAAATTTTCACTTGTCCTATATGGCAAGATGAGCGTTGCTATTTAAGCCAAGATCGCAAGTTCTGCCTATTCGGCACGACATATATATATACCCTGAGAGGTATATTTCAGTATATATTCCGTACATGTAGAATGAAAAATTAATTATTATGCGTCATTTAATGACCATGGTGCAGTCGATAGGCTTTAAACTCTCATTAATTAACCTGTCTTGCATAAAGTTTATTAATTTTCTCTGTGAAACTCACAAACTCGTCAATTTTCTCTGTGAAACTCACAAACTCGTCAATTTTCTCTCGGGAAAATTTCATTGTAAAAATTTAAATTAACGAAAAGTGTCATGAAGATTTACATAGATTTACCGTAATTGTATTGTCATTATTAATATTATTTTCTTGATGTGTATGATCATATATTTCTTGTATAAAAATATACTCGTTGTACATGTCAAATATTGATTAATAAAGTGTTTTAGTTAATTTAGATTAGAAGAGTTTTTATACGTTATTCTTAATCCTTCATGTATGATCAGTGTAGTGAATATACTGTATTATGTATGATCAGTGTAGTGGATACACTGTATTATGTATGATCAATGTAGTGGATACACTGTATTATGTATGATCAATGTAGTGGATACACTGTATTATGTATGATCAATGTAGTGGATACACTGTATTATGTATGATCAATGTAGTGGATACACTGTATTATGTATGATCAATGTAGTGGATACACTGTATTATGTATGATCAATGTAGTGGATACACTGTATTATGTATGATCAGTGTAGTGGATACACTGTATTATGTATGATCAATGTAGTGGATACACTGTATTATGTATGATCAATGTAGTGGATACACTGTATTATGTATGATCAATGTAGTGGATACACTGTATTATGTATGATCAATGTAGTGGATACACTGTATTATGTATGATCAGTGTAGTGGATACACTGTATTATGTATGATCAGTGTAGTGGATACACTGTATTATGTATGATCAGTGTAGTGGATACACTGTATTATGTATGATCAATGTAGTGGATACACTGTATTATGTATGATCAGTGTAGTGGATACACTGTATTATGTATGATCAATGTAGTGGATACACTGTATTATGTATGATCAGTGTAGTGGATACACTGTATTATGTATGATCAGTGTAGTGGATACACTGTATTATGTATGATCAGTGTAGTGGATACACTGTATTATGTATGATCAATGTAGTGGATACACTGTATTATGTATGATCAGTGTAGTGGATACACTGTATTATGTATGATCAGTGTAGTGGATACACTGTATTATGTATGATCAATGTAGTGGATACACTGTATTATGTATGATCAGTGTAGTGGATACACTGTATTATGTATGATCAGTGTAGTGAATACACTGTATTATGTATGATCAATGTAGTGGATACACTGTATTATGTATGATCAATGTAGTGGATACACTGTATTATGTATGATCAGTGTAGTGGATACACTGTATTATGTATGATCAATGTAGTGGATACACTGTATTATGTATGATCAATGTAGTGGATACACTGTATTATGTATGATCAATGTAGTGGATACACTGTATTATGTATGATCAGTGTAGTGGATACACTGTATTATGTATGATCAATGTAGTGAATACACTGTATTATGTATGATCAAGTAGTGGATACACTGTATTATGTATGATCAGTGTAGTGGATACACTGTATTATGTATGATCAGTGTAGTGGATACACTGTATTATGTATGATCAATGTAGTGGATACACTGTATTATGTATGATCAATGTAGTGGATACACTGTATTATGTATGATCAATGTAGTGGATACACTGTATTATGTATGATCAATGTAGTGGATACACTGTATTATGTATGATCAGTGTAGTGAATACACTGTATTATGTATGATCAGTGTAGTGGATACACTGTATTATGTATGATCAATGTAGTGGATACACTGTATTATGTATGATCAATGTAGTGGATACACTGTATTATGTATGATCAATGTATGGATACACTGTATTATGTATGATCAATGTAGTGGATACACTGTATTATGTATGATCAATGTAGTGGATACACTGTATTATGTATGATCAATGTAGTGGATACACTGTATTATGTATGATCAATGTAGTGGATACACTGTATTATGTATGATCAGTGTAGTGAATACACTGTATTATGTATGATCAATGTAGTGGATACACTGTATTATGTATGATCAATGTAGTGGATACACTGTATTATGTATGATCAGTGTAGTGGATACACTGTATTATGTATGATCAATGTAGTGGATACACTGTATTATGTATGATCAATGTAGTGGATACACTGTATTATGTATGATCAGTGTAGTGAATACACTGTATTATGTATGATCAATGTAGTGGATACACTGTATTATGTATGATCAATGTAGTGGATACACTGTATTATGTATGATCAATGTAGTGGATACACTGTATTATGTATGATCAATGTAGTGGATACACTGTATTATGTATGATCAATGTAGTGGATACACTGTATTATGTATGATCAATGTAGTGGATACACTGTATTATGTATGATCAATGTAGTGGATACACTGTATTGTTATGTATGATCAGTGTACTGGATACACTGTATTGTTATGTATGATCAGTGTAGTGGATACACTGTATTGTTATGTATGATCAGTGTAGTGGATACACTGTATTGTTATGTATGATCAGTGTAGTGGATACACTGTATTGTTATGTATGATCAGTGTAGTGGATACACTGTATTGTTATGTATGATCAGTGTAGTGGATACACTGTATTGTTATGTATGATCAGTGTAGTGGATACACTGTATTGTTATGTATGATCAGTGTAGTGGATGCACTGTATTGTTATGTATGATCAGTGTAGTGGATACACTGTATTGTTATGTATGATCAGTGTAGTGGATGCACTGTATTGTTATGTATGATCAGTGTAGTGGATGCACTGTATTGTTATGTATGATCAGTGTAGTGGATACACTGTATTGTTATGTATGATCAGTGTAGTGGATACACTGTATTGTTATGTATGATCAGTGTAGTGGATGCACTGTATTGTTATGTATGATCAGTGTAGTGGATACACTGTATTGTTATGTATGATCAGTGTAGTGGATGCACTGTATTGTTATGTATGATCAGTGTAGTGGATACACTGTATGTTATGTATGATCAGTGTAGTGGATACACTGTATTGTTATGTATGATCAGTGTAGTGGATACACTGTATTGTTATGTATGATCAGTGTAGTGGATACACTGTATTGTTATGTATGATCAGTGTAGTGGATACACTGTATTATGTATGATCAATGTAGTGGATACACTGTATTATGTATGATCAGTGTAGTGGAATACACTGTATTATGTATGATCAATGTAGTGGATACACTGTATTATGTATGATCAGTGTAGTGGATACACTGTATTATGTATGATCAGTGTAGTGGATACACTGTATTATGTATGATCAGTGTAGTGGATATACTGTATTATGTATGATCAATGTAGTGGATACACTGTATTATGTATGATCAGTGTAGTGGATACACTGTATTATGTATGATCAATGTAGTGGATACACTGTATTATGTATGATCAGTGTAGTGGATACACTGTATATGTATGATCAATGTAGTGGATACACTGTATTATGTATGATCAATGTAGTGGATACACTGTATTATGTATGATCAATGTAGTGGATACACTGTATTATGTATGATCAATGTAGTGGATACACTGTATTATGTATGATCAATGTAGTGGATACACTGTATTATGTATGATCAATGTAAGAACATAAGAACATAAGAAAGGAGGAACACTGCAGCAGGCCTGTTGGCCCATACTAGGCAGGTCCTTTACAATTCATCCCACTAACAAAACATTTGACCAACCCAATTTTCAATGCCACCCAAGAAATAAGCTCTGATGTGAAAGTCCCACTCAAATCCAACCCCTCCCACTCATGTACTTATCCAACCTAAATTTGAAACTACCCAAAGTCCCAGCCTCAATAACTCAACTAGGTAGACTGTTCCACTCATCA